TTTTTTTTTTTTTTTTTTTTTTTTGATACCTGGGGATTGAACTCGGGTCCTTGCGCTTGCAAGGCAGGCCACCGAACTGCTGAGCTAAATCCCTGGCCCTGAGCCTTTTTTTTTTTAATGAGTGGTACATTGGTATTTTGGGAAAGAAATTTTCCAGAAGTCTTTCAGCAAAGAACAGTGTTTAAACAAATGTCAAAATCTACATTAGTTAGGATTCTCCAGAGAAATAGAACCAATAGGATGTAGGAGAATTGTGGAAGTCATAATCTGCAGGGTAGGCCAGCAAGCTGAAGATGGACAGAGGAGTTGGCATTACTGTCGAGCACCAAAGGCTGTCTGCTGCAGAGTCTTTGCTTCTTGGGGTACCTCAGTATTTTTTTATTGAGGCCTCTTCTACTGATTGGATGAGCCCACTGTACATATGGAGGACAATTGCTTTACATCTACTTCCTTTTTACAGTAAGTCTACTGACTTACATGTTAATCTCTTCTACAAAATACCTTAACTGGTCAGGTGTGGTGGCATAGGCTTGTAATCCCAGTATTCAGGAGGCTGAGGCAGTAGGATTGCCAACAATATCAAGGCCAGTCTGGGCTGTATAGTGAGTTCAAGACAAGTCTGAACTACCTAGAGAGACCCTGTCACCAGGAAAAAAAAAAACACCATAACATACCAACCTGGGTAGCTGGCATATTGGTGACCTCACCTAAATAAGTACTTGGGTCTTGGGCCTGGGATTTAGCTCAGCAGCACCATGCTTGCCTCACAAGTGCAAGGTCCTGAGTTCAATTCCCAGTACCAAAAAAAAAAAACAAGTGCTTGGGTCTTGCTTAGGTGACAGGTGCCAGCAGTCCTCACAAAACATAGTCTAGAGCTTGCATATCGCTTATCAGAACTTCCCGGCTAAATGGCCATCCAGTTAGTTTTGTTTTTTGGTATCAGGATTTGAACTCAGGACCTTGCGCTTGCGAGGCAGGTGGCAGCACCACTGAGCTAAATCCCTGGCCCCATCCAGATAGTATTGAATACACTTGTTCTCATTCTGTTAAGTAAGTATTTGAATCCTACAATGAATGTAGTCATTATGTCCTACAAACATGTAAATTTTTAAATTTTGTTAAATTTTTTTATAATTTGACACAGGGACAAGGGGAAAAATGAGAACCAAGACCTGTCATGTAAAGGTACAAGATCCCAATAATGAATGTAACTGTACTTTATACATAAAATGTACCAATAAACTCATTGAGAGAAAAAGAATAATAATAATTTGAGATAGGGTCTGTGTAGCCCAGGCTGACCTCAAATTCAGGCCAACACTGCTGCCTCAGCCTCCCAAGTGCTGGGATTGCAGGCGTGCACCACCACACTCAGCTAAACATTTTTATAAAAATAAATTTTTCTAAATTAAAAAAAAAAAAGAAGGGCCAGTGGAACCACCACCTGCCTTGCAAGGGCAAGGTCCCAAGTTCGATCCCTGGTACCCAAAAAAAAGAGAATTTGCGAAGAACTCCCAGTCTCCCAAGAACATATGTGAGGACCCTCAGAGCTCTGGGTTTCTGAGGAAATGCTGTGCCCTGACGGCCAAGCACAAGTGACTGAGCTGCTGGGAGGGTGTGGGCAAGCTCTTCAGCCCCGAGGCTGGTTCAGAGTCCATACTTTTCCTCTCCCATCAGAAGGACTGAAATTCCATGTTTCTGTGGGGACTGATATTTCAATTAGTAGTATGGAAAGACGAAGTCCTGGCCCAAAAATATCATGTAGTGGGGGTTCTCCAGGAGGGTTCCCTTGCTTCTTGCTCCCTCTTCTTGTCGTTGCAGATTCTGATTCCCAGTACAGCCATGAAGTTATGCCTCTTCTCTACCCACTGTTTGTCTACCTCCATCTCAGCCTAGTCCAGAGCAGCCCGAAGAGCACAGTGGAAAGTTTCTATAGCCGCTTCCATGGAATGTTCCTGCAGAACGCAAGCCAGAAGGATGTTATTGAGCAGCTGCAGACCACTCAGACCATCCAGGACATCCTGTCCAATTTCAAGCTTCGTGCATTCCTAGATAACAAGTATGTGGTCCGTCTCCAGGAAGACAGCTACAACTACCTGATCCGCTACCTCCAAAGTGACAACAACACTGCCCTGTGCAAGGTCCTCACCTTACATATCCACCTGGATGTGCAGCCTGCCAAGAGAACAGACTACCAGCTCTATGCCAGTGGTGGCTCCTCCCGCGGTGAGAGCAGCGGCCTGGAGCCCCCGGATGTGCCCAGCCCCATTCTGCAGAATGAGGCTGCACTGGAGGTCTTGCAAGAGAGCATCAAACGTGTCAAGGATGGCCCCCCCTCCCTCACCACCATCTGCTTCTACGCCTTCTACAACACGGAGCAGCTGCTAAACACTGCAGAAATTGCCCCTGATAGCAAGTTGCTTGCTGCTGGGTTTGACAACTCCTGCATAAAACTCTGGAGTCTGCGATCCAAGAAATTGAAATCAGAGCCTCACCTTGTAGACACGTCACACATCCACTTGGCTTGTGATACTCTGGAGGAAGAGGTAAGGGTGTCAACTTTTTCTTCCCTGCTCCTCCTTCCTGTTAGAATAGCTTCCCAAACCTGACAGTTCTTAGGGAGACCACATACCCTTATGTTCTAATCCTGCAGCCACAGACAAATTAATGCCATTTAACTAGTTGTTGAACCCTCCTCATCCCTCACCTAAGTGGCAAAATCTTTCTCACAGCTTAGCTTCATGAATGAATGACCAGTATTTTATCACTATCTGAAAACTGGAATTTATTACCAAGCCTAACTAACATTTTTCTTCCCGTTAAGTTTATTGAAGTACATTTAAAACAAACAATACAGTTACATTTATCACTGGAATCTTGTACCCTTAAAGACACTTAGAAATTATTTTGTAGGCCTAATTAACATTTATCTGCTATTGACTTTAGTTGACATTAGACTTGGTGTCCATTTGCAAGTGTGCACAATGCACAACTATAGACATTAGAAATCCATCTAACCCAGATGTGGTAGCACATGCCTGGATCCCAGCACTCCAGGAGGCTGAGACAGGTGGGTTGCAAGTCCGAGCCCCACTTGGGCAACTTAGTGACTTAGTGAGATTTTGTCTTTTTAAATTTTTTTAAATTAAAAAATAAAAAAGATGGAATGTAGCAATGTAACTCAATACAAAGGCCCTGGGTTCAATCCCTCATGCTGAGAAAACAAAAATTGTTTTTTCTGCTTACTGAGTCAAAGGTCTGCGTTTACATTGTGTCCCTCACAGAAACCAGTGCTGTTTCACACCTCAACACACTGGCATCGCTGCACTGGGTGGGACCAGACTTCCAGGCCAGTGCCCATCCTCTGGCTCCTTATGCCCACGTGTCTCAAAAAAGTCAAAAAAACAAAGTTGGCAGCTTAGCAAGACCTAATCTCTAAATCGCCAGGCATGGTGGTACATGCTTGTAATCCAACCACTGGAGAGGCTGAGGCAGGAGGATCACCTTAAGTTCGAGGGCAGCCTAGGTTACATAGAACTACATAGCAAGACCTTGCCTCCAAAAATAAATAAATAAAAAGAACCTGTCTGAGCCAGGTGTGGTGGCACACACCTGTAATCCCAACACTTAGGAGGCTGGGGCAGGAGGATCGCTGTGAGTTCGAGACCAACCTGGGCTGCATAGTGCGTTCCAGGTCAGTCTCAACTACATAGTGAGACCCTGTCTCAAAAAAAAGAAAGAAAATAATCTGAATAAAAACAGCTGGTGTTGTATCTCAGGGCAAGAGCACTTACCTAGAATGTATGAGGGGCCCTACATTCAATCTCCAGTACTGGGGAAGAGAGAGAGGATTAAATATGGCTGGAGCAGGGCAGAAAGTGACAGGCCATGGTGGCTTGAGCTGGGGGAGTGGCTGTGGAAAAGGAAGTGGAGCCCAGTTCCTGGGTGATACAGAGGTGCGGAAGAGGAAGCAGGGATGCCACATCCCAGCCCAAGCAGCTGGGTGGGGAACTTTGGAACTGAAGTTGAGGCCTCCTTTTACCGAGGGACTACCTGAGGGGTTTCTGCAACTCACCCATTTTATAACCACATTTGGGGAAGGTTTCTCTTTGACTTCTGACAACGAACATTTTAGGGAGGAGTGAGGTGTAATTTAAACCAGGTAATTGATTTTTAGTGTTTCTCTGGTGTGAATTTAGACTTTCTTTTTTCCATCTATAATATATAGTAAAAATTGAGACTTTTAACACAAAAGTCACAAACTCATACGCTGATAGTAGTTAAACAGGGGAAAGTAGGGCCAGGGATTTAGCTCAGTGGTTCCTACCTCCTGCCTTGCAAGCGCAAGGACCTGAGTTCAATCCCAGGACCAAAAAAAAAAAGGGGGGGGATAGTAAAAAGTACAGCCAATGAGTTTACCAAGATGAAACAAGAATGAACCTTGTTAACCAAATTTAAAAGCCTGATTTGCACTCTGCTTTAATCTTTTGAAGCGGTAATTATTGCAGAATTTTAACCAAATGGGTATTTAAATCAGCATTCAGATCAAGCAGTTCTATTTCTGTATACTGTATATACCCAAGAGAGTTGAAAACATAAAAGTCCACACAGGAGTGGCACATAAGAGTTCACAGCAGCATTACTTTCAGCAGACAAGAAGTAGAAATAGCCTAAATGTCTATCAGTAGATGAATGAATAATTGTGGTTTGTCCATGTAATGGAATATTATTCATCCATGAAAACAAATGAAGCAATGGATGTGAGGGTGATCTGGTTGCAACATGTAACCTGATTGATCACCAAGGTTGATTTGCCTGATCTGGCTGGCTAGGTGGGTGTGCCCTTCCTCCCTTGCGTGTCCCTCCCAAAGCTGCACATTCGGTGGAAGAAGACCATCCCCAGTAGAGGAGGACTATTTCCTTGGTCAAAGGTGTATGAAGTGTTTCATTCCCCTGCTAATACATCCAAACAAGCTCTTAAGGAATGGAATACTAACATTGCTGTACCATGGATGAACCTCGAAAATGTTATGCTCCATAAAAGAAGCCAGTCTCAAAAGGTGACATGCTGTTTGATTCCGTGTACAGGGACTGTCTAGGGCAGGTACATCCACAGAAATAAAAGTAGATGAGAATACTCAGCCATAAAGAATGAAAAACTAGAGACATTTATAGCCAAATGGATACACATTGAGGCTATACTCTAAGTGAAATAAATAGGATCTATGTGTATAAATATCGAATAGTTTCTCTGGTGTAAAAAACTAAAAGTGTAAATAAGGTTCAAATGGTATAAATGATAGTGTGAAATAGGAAGAAAATTGCTAAAGGGAAAGTGGAAAGGGGAGGGGAAAGGAAATAAGGGAAAAGAAATGTGAAAAGGAAAAAATGTAAACAAAGTCTTTGTAACTAGGGAAGGGTGAAGGGAGGGCAGGGGTATGGGGAAAAAATAAGAACCAAGACTTACAATATAAAGGTACAAGATCCTGATGATAAATGTAACCATATGTTTGCTTTGTATGTACCAGTAAACTTTTTTTTTCCCCCCGTGGTACCAGGGATCGAACTCGGGACCTTGCGTTTTTTAAGAAGGCAGCAGAACCACTGAGCTAAATCCCTGGCCCAATGTACCAATAAACTTAACAGGGGGGAAAAAAGTAGATGAGAGGGGCCAGGGATTTAGCTCAGTGGTGCTGCTGCCTGTTTCACAAGCACAAGGTCCCAAGTTTGATCCCAGTACCAAAAAAAAAAAAGTTTTTTTTTTAAAGTAGATGAGAGTCTGCCAGGGGCCGAGCAGGAGAATGACACTACTGACAGGTGTAGACTTTCTTTGTGAAGTGGTAAAAATGTTTTGTCAAACATTGCTGCTGGGGGGCATGGTGGTACACACTTGTCATCCCAGAAGGCTGAAGGAGGAGGATTACTGCAACTTTGAGGCCAGCCTGAACCACATAGCAAGACTTGTCTCCAAAAAAAAAGTGCTGCTGATTGCCCAACTGTTTACTGAAATTGAATTATACACTTTAAAATTATGGTACAGCATGTGAATCATTTCTCAGTTTTAAAAAAACAATAGGGTTAAGTGAGTGGCTCAGTGGTACAGCACTTGCCTAGCATGTGCAAGGCCCTGGGTTTGATTGACCCCCAGCACTGCAAAAAGCAAAATAATAATAAACAAACAAACAAAAAAAATAAGTGAAAGTTGCTAGGCAAGCCTAAAATTTTCTCTGTTATGCTAAATGAAGCTGGATATGCAGCACTGTCCTGTAGCTTCTGTTATCCCAATTAAGATGCTCCAGGTCACCTCTGAGGTGGGTCCAGCAGCTGTCTCCTCCTCCTAGTGTTTCTGTGTGCTACTGTGTACACAGCAATCCTCCTTGTTCAGCCTCCTGAGTGCTGGAATCACAGGTGTGTGCTACCACACCTGGCAAAGTGTTGCTCTTTGAAGAGGAAAGCTGCTAACATTCTTGGTAGCACTCGGTAGAACCCTGAGCTCCCAAATACTTGTATACTTTTAATATAAAATGTCTGAAATTGCCATTTTGGGTATTTTGAAACACAAGTATTTATTGTCTCTTTACTTGTCAAATATGTGCATATTGGAGATGTCCATTTTATTTTGACTTTGTTCTCTCTCTCTTTTTCTTTTTTTTGATTTTTTGAGACAGGGTGTCACTATGTAGTTGAGACTGACCTGGAACTCATTATGTAGCCCAGGGTGGTCTCAAACTCACAGTGATCCTCCTGCCTCAGCCTCCTGAGTGCTGGGATTACAGGTGTGCACCACCACAGACGGCTATTTTGACTTTGTTTTCAACTAGAAAGAAGGATATCCTGCAAAAATGGTACTCCTTTTCTCTGCAAGAACCAGCAAAGCTGAGGGATTGAGGAGTATCCATTTGCTTCTTTCAGTGTTTAGTGAAGTGCACTGCAGTCATAAATCCCAGGATAGACACAGGTGTAGTTTAAGGAGTTTGTGAGAGATTAAAGGGAATAGATTTGAAAGCAGCTGATCTCACTGTGGGGAAGGCTATAGGAGCAGACTTTTTCCCAGGTACTGTTACTGGCCGTCTCCCATCCCCATGTATAGGAAATTATCTCTGGGAGCCACAGGAGTCACTTGGCTTTTTTAAGCTGTTCTGGATCTATGCCTTGTCTTGTTAGTTTGGGAGAAATGTCGGTGGCCCTCCAAAAAGACAGTGTTTTAACTTCTTTTTTTATCAGTACTTGGGAGTTGAACTTAGATCCTCAAGCCTACTAGCCAGGCACTACCACTGAGCTACGCCCCAGGTCTTATTTCTTTTTAAGATACTAGCTATAGAGGGAAGCTCAGGTGATGGAGGAGGGCATGACATGCTGGTAACCACCCTTTCTGCCTTGCTCTTCTTACACGTCTAAGTTTTATTTCAACCATACTCATAGTTCTGCATTACTCATGAAATGAGACCTTGCCTGTGTGCATATGTGGCTGCCTTCATCATTTCCCCCATTACAGGTGTAATGAACCTGTGCAGATATTTTTAAATGGACAGAAGCAGGGAGCCACATGGCTATGACACAGCTAGAACTGACAGGAGAAGACAGTGCCATAAAGGAGAAGAATCTAAGAACTTAAACTCAAAAGCAAATCTTTTCAAGTTACATACATCAGAATTAATAGAGTAGAGTCAGGATGCTGTGATAATAGCCTTGTTTCTCTGTGTATGATCCACTGTGGTCTTAGGTCCAGTGTGGATTTAAGGTAAGCATTTGGCAGGTTGTGACTACCCAGTGATGCAGTTCAGTTGAGAGTTGCTTCCCAGGTGTGACTGTATGGTGCAGGACCACTATTGGAACAGGTGCTATTTTTTTTTTTTTTTTTTTTTTTTTTTTTTTTTTTTTTTGAGACAGGGTCTCTATGTAGTTGAGATTGATCTGGAGCTCACTATGTAGCCCAGGCTGGTCTCTAATTCACAGCAATCCTCCTGCCTCAGCATCCCTAGTGCTGGGATTACAGGCATATGCCACCATACCCGGCAAGGTGCTGTTTCTTGAGCAGGTTGACCTTTCTCCTGGACCTGTCCTTCTGTGAGCCCAGTAAACATTTTCTTCTTTTGTGTTTCTTTCTCATCCCACCCCAATGTCCCAGGAGGATGAGGAGGACAGCACAGGCACAGAGATGAAGATCCTGCGGGGACACTGTGGACCAGTGTACAGTACACGTTTCCTCGCGGACAGCTCAGGGTTGCTCTCTTGTTCTGAAGACATGTCCATCCGGTACTGGGATCTGGGGAGTTTCACCAACACTGTGCTGTACCAAGGACATGCCTACCCCGTGTGGGACCTGGACATCAGCCCATACAGCCTGTACTTTGCCAGTGGGTCTCACGACCGCACTGCCAGGCTGTGGTCCTTCGATCGGACGTACCCACTGAGGATATATGCAGGACACCTGGCAGATGTGGACTGTGTCAGATTCCACCCTAACTCTAACTACTTAGCCACAGGCTCGACCGACAAGACTGTCCGGCTATGGAGTGCCCAGCAGGGGAACTCAGTGAGGCTCTTCACGGGCCACCGTGGCCCTGTGCTCTCTCTGGCTTTCTCTCCCAATGGGAAGTACTTGGCATCTGCTGGTGAGGACCAGCGGTTAAAACTGTGGGACCTGGCCTCTGGGACCCTTTTTAAAGAGCTGAGAGGCCACACAGACAGCATCACCAGCCTCGCCTTCAGCCCTGACAGTGGCCTAGTGGCCTCTGCCTCCATGGACAACTCAGTGCGTGTCTGGGACCTCCGGAACACATGCTGTAGCGCTCCCGCAGATGGCTCCTCCAGTGAGCTCGTGGGTGTCTACACAGGGCAGATGAGCAGTGTCCTGAGTGTGCAATTCATGGCCTGCAACCTGCTGCTTGTGACTGGGATCACACAGGAGAGTCAGGAACACTGATTCTTACCTTGGCTGGAATAGGCGGCTGTGGTGAGAGGCATCTGGCCGCAGCACAGATATGGACACGGTGAGCAAATTCCTGACAGACTGTGCAAGAGCCCTACCCTAATGCAGCCTCATTGTCATGGGACTCAGTCAGGGCTGGGCCATGGCTCAGTGCTGCCTGGACTCGAGATGAGCACCAGGATGTTCTGCGGTCAGCGGCACGTTCCCAGAGGACCTTTGGGACCCTGTGTGCAAGCACCTTCCCATTTGCATCTTGTCCTCCCAGTGTGCTTACTGAGGGCAGTTGCCAAGTGCCCTCCACAGCACCCCTAGACACCCTCAGTAGGTCACCCTTGAGGAGGGAAGTGGGGACAGAACTGGGAAAGGGAGGGTGATCCTTTTCCTGAATGGTAGAACCAGGATTTTTTATTATTGTTATGATTACTGTTCTTGCAAAGAGGAAACCTAGCACTGGCAGAGGGGAACATCTCTGCTTTTATCTTCAGGTTTGACTCCTGGCACTGGCTGTAATACTTGGAATTTTGAGCTTCAGGGAATTCAGAGATTTTGGTGGCACAGTGTATCAGGAGAAAGGGAAATCTTGAGCACACCAAACAGCATGTTTTGGAAGTCGGTGGATGAGAACACTGAGAACACTGGGCCCTTGCAGTTATGGTGGGAAACTTTCTTTCTTGGCTGCACTTCTATCAGTAATTCTCTCCCCTGAAAAGAAAGATTATGATAGGAGGGGGTGCAGCTTAGTGGTAGTGCATTTGCCTAGCCTGTGGGAGGCCCTGGTTCAGTCCCCAGTACCACCCCCTGCAAAAAAAGATAATGGTAAAGAATAATTTGGAGGGCTGGGAATTAGCTCAATGACATAGCATCTGCCTGGCAAATGCAAGTCTCTGAGTTCGATTCCCAGTACAAAAAAAAAAAAAAAAAAAAAAAAAAAAAAAAAAAAAGAAAGAAAAAGAAGAAGAATTTGGAGTAAGTCATGAGAGATAGAACTAATGTCAGATTTCGGAGTGACCGTTAGCCAGAGGTTAGCATTTCTGCTGTCTCTCCTGTGGTGAGCGCATCGTGAGGTGAATCCTGAGTGCGCGTGCACATGTCAAACTGTGCCCTGAGGATAAAGCAAGTTCTTATGTATGGGAAAGGATTAAATATTTCTGTTTTCCGAAAAGTTATTTTGTATTTTGTTTTCTATTAAAATGTATTTAGTTTCAAAAAAAAAAAAAAAAAAGAACAAGTGTCAGCATCTCATTTACATTCCTGAGACAAATATGGTCTGTCCTGGAGGGGCTCTGGCTTCTCTCACAGACAGTGGCCAGCCTGACTACATTGGCCCAAGGAAGACACACTTTCATCTACTCTTGTGCTCATCTGGTTCACTGAGTCCTGATTCCTCTTGGCATTGCTTGAATTATTGATGGCATTTAACATGTCACAAGAGAGCCAACTGGAGACAAACATTGTACCAACTAGAATTACTGGGAATCCTGATTTCCAGCTTCTTTGAAAGATCCCATTGAAAAATCAATAAGGGTCATAAGAACTGGGTTGTTTAATTCGCCAGACATGGTAGAGCATGCCTGTAATCCTGGGAGGCTGAGGCAGAAGGATCACCTCAAATTTGAGGCCAGCCTGGACTACATAGTCCAAGATCAGTCTGGGCTACATAGATCCTGTCTCAGAAAACAAAAAAAAAGTCAATGTACCTTTTAAATTAGGAGTCTCAAGAAATAATGAGAGTTCTTCATGCCATGAGATAGGATTTCTCTATTTGAAATCCTCAAATGCAGTTAGAAAACAGCACAGTAACACCAAAAATTTAGGGTCTTTTGTTTTCTGTACTGAGGATTGAACCCAGGAACCTCACACTAAGCTATATCCCCAGCCCTTTTGTCTTTCCCAGCCCTTTTGAAAAATTTATTTAGAGACAGGGTCTCATTAAATTGTCCAATGTAGGGTTGAACTGCAGTCCTGCCTCACTGGGAATACAGGAGTGCATTACACATCCAGCAGATTTTACTTTCATGTTTTTTTGTTGTTGTTTTTCAGTACCGGGGATCAAACTCGGGTCCTTGAGCTTGTGAGGCAGGTTCCAGAACCACTGAGCTAAATCCCTGGCCCTCAGTTTTTAAAAATATAAAATATGCAGGGCCAGAGATTTACCTTAGTGGCACTGCCTACCTCTCAGGCACAAGGTCCTGAGTTCCATCCCCAGTACAAAACAAAACAAAACATATATTTATACATATATACATACATACATATTGTATGCTTTGATCTGTAATTCTGTTACAAAGACACCAGAGATTGTCAGTAAATTAAGTGGAAAGACTGTAAAATGTTACACCAATTTTAGTTGAACCTACATTGCTAATTCAGAAATGTTACTTAATTGATAAATTCACATATTTGAGCCAAATATGTGACTGTAACACATGCCTGTAGTCACAGCATTCACGAGGCTAAGGCAGGAGGGTGGCAAGTTCAAGGTCAGCCTGGGTTATATAGTAAGACCCTGTCTCAGAAGCAAAGAAAATCCATGTATTTGAGGCACTGTATAAGAAGGCTCCATTGCAGCTTGCCTGACAGTATTACTGTGTGCTCTGTAGAGGAACGCTGGAGTCTAGTGCAGTGTTTACTGTGAGGAGAACCCTTAGGTCACACTGTGACAGAATATCAGGACGGCCTGCCATTCTGAGAAGCCAAAGTGTCATGCAGAGGATGACCCAGAAAGGTTTTGTGTGTTCGTTGATGCAGAAGCGCCTTGGTGAAACAGGCACACGGGGCTGCTCAGTCTTTACCAGCCATGTTTATATTTTGTGATTTCAGTTCAGTTCCTGTAGGGTTTGCCTTGTTTATTTATTTTGTGAACTAGTTTTAGTGCAGGATAGTTTGACTTTATTATAGTTTCCCAAAACTCTTAAAAGTATTAAAAGGTGGTGAGTGCCTGTGTGTCTCCTTGAGATCTGCCCTGCACAACCCTCTCCCACTCAAAGCCCCCCCGCCCCACCAGACTCGAGACAGCACCACCAGATAGACCAGATATCTGAAGCCCAGAAAAGCACATTACCATCTGCACCCAGTGAGGATCCACGTGTCCTGGATGGGTTCTGTGGGTTGTGTAGCCCAATTCAAATGAGCACAGCCCTGAAGACCAAAAAAAAAACAAAAACTAAAAACCAAAAAACCCTCCAAAGCCAGGTGTAGTAGACTGTAATCCCAGTATTCAGGAGGCTGAGGCAGGAGGAGTGTTGTGAGTTTTAAGCCAGCCTGGGCTACATAGTTCAGAGCTAGCCTGAACTGCATAGTGAGACCCTGTCCCAAAGCAAAACAAAACCTCCAAAGAGAATATGACACATCTCTGCAATGTATGTAAAAGCCCAGATAAATGTAATTGTCATTTAGCAAAAGACTGGCCAAAAGGAAGAGAAAATTAAGAGGCCAGTGAATAGAGGTGAAATAAGGGACAACTCAAGGTCTCTTGTGTTCAGGACCCAGCATCTGATGACATCCTGATCAAATGTCCTAGCTACATAAGATAGTCTGGTGGTGCAGACTTCTGACTTACAGTAGCCCACAGCTTGACCTTCATTAGAGAGGTTCTCATCTTCTGTGCCCAGGCCACACCAAGCTCCCACCTTCTGATGTCCAAGTCCTCCACAGTGACTTCAAAACAGCTTGTGAGAAACAACCTCAGGAAATTTAAGGAATGCACATGTCCCTTATGTGACTTGCTAGAAGACAACCTAGTTGCTTTCCAGTGATTGGAATTTTCTTAAGTACCTGGGCTGGTTAGGGAAGGTTATTTTAGTTGGCTCACATGGGTGGCCAGCCTTTATTTGCAGAAAGTAGAGCCAAAGCCTGAGGACATGTGCACTTGAACTCCAGCCGCAGGTGAGCTGACCTAGGGTAAGTCCCTTGGCCTCTTGAATCTGTTGCCTCCATGAGTATGCATATATGTCTGTCTGCTGGTCTCTTGGCCATATTAGGTGGCATAAAGAATGTAAGGTGCCCACAGTGGATCCTAGTGTTCGAGTTTTCCCATGTAGTCGTCTGGGGTAACTTTTCAAGTTGCAGCTAGAGATGCATAGACCTGCTGGGAGAGAGGCAGCCTGTGGCTCCAACTGCCCTCCTGGGGACTCCGATGTCCTTCCTGACTCCATTTTCCATTTGAGCCTAGCTGAAGCCTCCACTTGTATGTTTGCCTAGTTCCAGAACTCTGTAATTTGATGTGCATTGGCAGCATGGATACAAAGGGGCTCAGTGAACGAAAGCAGACCCTGCCCCTGCTGGCCCAGACTGCAGGCTGCGGTCTCCTTCCCTGTTCTCTGCTGAGAGATATGTGCCCAGAATTGACCTTGGGGGTGGGAAGGGGGCATCTTGAGATATCTGTGCAAAAATGAAACAAAGTAACATTTTAAAGGAAAAGTGGTTGCCATCACCAGTTTTATGTTACTTATATTTTACAATAAAAAATTACTTCAAAAATAATAAAGCACCCTTTCGCTTCCCAACACCGCCAAGGTCGCATGCGTGAGGCCTGTCTGCCAACACCACCAACATGCTCTATGTCGCCTCCTACTTGCTGGCCAGTAGGCAACCCCTCCCCAGCACCAAAGACATTAAGGAGATCCTGGACAGCGTGGGCTTTGAGGCAGACAATGACCAGATTAATACCCTAACCTTAACCCTACATCAGTGAGCTGAATGGAAAAAACATTGAAGATGTTACACCCAGTGGACTGGCAGGCTTGCCAGTGTGCCAGCTGGTGGGTCTGTGGCCATCTCTGCTGCCCCTTGCTGCTGGTTCTGCCCCTGCTGTAGAGGAGAAAAAAGAAAAACAGGAGAAGCCTGAGGAGTCTGATCATGACATGGGATATGGCCTGTTTGATTAAATTTCCCCTCTGCAAATAAAGCCATTTTATGTATCTTTAAAAAATATAATAATAGGGCCGGGGATGTAGCTCAGTGGCACTGCGCCTGCCTTGCAAGCACAAGGGCTCAAGGTCGATCCCCAGTACCAAAAAAAAAAAAAAAGAAAAGAAAAAGAAAAAACTGAGTTTTAGACTTTAAATGGAGAATTCTATGTTTTGTTTTGTTTTTTGGTACCAGGAATCGGACTCGGGTCCTTGTGCTTGTAAGGCGGATAGTGGAACCACTGAACTAAATCCACAGCCCGGAGAATTGTATGTTATGTGGATTAGATCTTAATCTGTCACCAAAAAACATTGAGAAGATGCTGCCTCGGTTGGAGTGGCTAGCCTGTAGTGGGCACATGAATGCTTGCTGAGTGCCAGAGCATGGTGCTCTTGGTGGCTGCTTGCCCACGGGACAGGACAGAGCACGTGCTGTGCCTTTGGGCATAGAGGAGGCATCAGCTTAGCCATTGCAAGGCTTTTGAGGCTGAATTTACTAGAGGTTAATCCCAAATACTAACTTACTAACTCAGTGCATTATATTTTGTATCTGAAAGGCTCTAGTTTATTTTGATATTTTTAAAATGAGATTTATACTTCCTACAAGTGTCTCTAAATTTTTTTTTTTTTTTTTTTGGTACTGGGAATCAAACTAAGGTCCTTGCACTTGCAAGGCAGGCAGCAGAACCACTGAGCTAAGTCCCCGACCCCCTAAACTATTTTGAGCTTCCTGTCATCTCCCTGTGCTAAGAATCCCCAAGTCCTGGTCATGGCTCTGTCTGCTGGAGCCTCTATAGAGAGTGGATCGTGCACCTGATGCTGGGCCAGCCCTGGTGTGTGGCTGCCAGTGTCTTGGCTTCATCCCATGAGAATGTGAGGATGGAGGGAGGTACTGTGGCTGCTAAAGCACACAACTGCCTGATGCCTGCAGCTGGGATGAGACAGGGTTGCTGCCCCTGTGTGGTGCCCACACAGTCCAAGCAGAGCTGTGGGGACACAGGACTCCCACCAATCACCT